ATCCGCAGTAGCAGGATATGCCATAATTGGTATCTGGACATTCGGAATATGATTCTGCATATTAATCTGCCAGTTGCTAGGATGCTGCCTGTACCTATTGAAGGTTATTGACCATGGTATAAACTTGTAAGGGATTTGGTCATAGCCTGGGTCCCCGCCTAACACCCATCCCCAAATGAGGCGATTGGCCCTTTGCTTTCAGGAGACACCCCTTTGAATTACTAGAAAAAAGGCTGACATGCCTGGAGAGAGGTAAGAAGAGATACCTCCCTTTTAACAGCAGGAACATCCTTGGGAGAAAGGCAACCTTTTTGTTTGGACGACTGGATTCTGCTCAAACCAAGGACTCTTGCAAGTATCCTGTCTTCTGAAACTTCTTTCTTTTATTTCTCTGTTGTTTTATTGCTCTCTCTCTTTATATATATATATATATATATATATATATATATATTTGTTACATCTTTTCTGTAAATATTTTAATTGCACCATGTTGACCTTTTTAGTAATAAATCCTATTTTCTGAAAAGCGTTGAAACTGTCTCTAAAGCTTTTAATGCAAACTAAAAGAATCCCTGTCTCTGGAGAGTGCTACTGTATGTATTAACCCTCTGCATACATCTGTCTGCGGTGGCAGTGTGTATACAGACGCTTATTGAAATATCATAGTGTTACTGCTAAGATTTGTGAGTTTCCTCCTTCTCTGTAAAAAGGCAGTGGTGGCAGTGTGAAGGGATAATTGCGTAATTAACCTGACCCAGTAACAATCGCTCTCAGGCTGCTGACACATAGATTGTGGTCCAGCGAGCTGGAAAATCTTTGTGCAGGGCGCAGCTGAGAGTGGCATTGTTACACAAGTGGCAGCGAGGTCTTAAATCGGCTGGTCCTTCAGTCACAAATTGGTGAGAAGGGCTGGGGTCTGACGCCACGCACTGTCACAATAGCTACCCATGGATGTTATTAAAACACAATTTACATAAACCAGTCTACTGTATGAAGCTTAGGTATGGTGGCTTGATAAAGAGACACTGTCACCGTGCCTATACAGAGCAAAGTGACAGGGTTTCTGCAAACAACCGCCCCCCTCACCCTCAACCACCTTATACTCACTTTACAAGCGCTCCCTCACTTCATTCAATTAAAGAACATGGAATAATTTTGATATTGAAGAGCAAGCGACCTTTCGCAGTGCTTGGGTCTAACAGCCAATTCCTAGGCCCAAGCATTGGCAATTGTTTGGAGGAATGATGTTGTAGCTCTCCCTGGTTGCCAACAGCAGCCATGTTAGTGTTGGTTGCAGAGAAGGAAGGAGAAAAAAGGGAACGCTGGTAAAATGAGTAGGAGGGGGTCTTTTCAAAGACACTGTCACATTGCCCTGCATGAAAAGGTGACAGCAGTGTTGTTTTACTAAAAGCAAATAAAGTGTTGACTTTGCAAGGGAATTTTCACTTTGCAAAGGAATTTATCTTATCTCAGTGAATGTGGTGAAAATGAACTTTGCAAAGAATACCCAATCATGTGCAAGGGAAATAAAAACAACTGTATTTTGCTTGCAGGGATTGGATGATGGAAGTCAACAGAGCAAGTCCCTTGCAAAGTGAAAATTCCCTTACAAGGTGAACAGCCTATTTGCCTTAAGTAAATCAATCCCAATGTCCTTTTACCTGCCCTGCATTTATTATTTGGCTTGTGCATCAGACAATGTTGGATTCCATCAAAGGCTTCTTGGAAAGGTATTTAACTTAAATCAAACTCACCTGTCATACAACTGTTAGACAAACTCAATAGTTCCCGAATACTGTCAAAAGCAGAAAGGCCGAATCTTGCCACATTTTAAAACATTTCAGAATCAGACGTCAAGGCTAATTATGAGAATATGTAAGTTGTCTGGGTTTAACAGGTTGCATAATCTCACTTTGAGTCCTTTTTAAATTCAGTTTTGTATTAAGCAATCATTATTATACGGATCATTAATGTCCAAATGAGAATATCAGGTTTGAAAAAAAAAAAACAAATTCCTTTACCGACTGGAGTGTTTGAAACTATTCTGTTTCATATTACCACTTGATCCAATTCCCTGACTTTAAATGGACAAGAGGATATTAAATAGTGCAACACAAAATAATTTCTGTTTATAGCACAAAGGAAGCTTTTATTTTCTGTATGAGCAAGAGAATTGCAATAGCTACATCATTGTTGGAAACGTAGGAGTATATCTTGCCAAATGGGGCTTGTGCAAGAGTTACAACTATCCTGATAAGAAACAGTACTGTCAAAGCTTGCCTACAATCCTTTTTAGCTTCAGTGTTTAAACCCTAATGGGGAAATGCTAGGTGAACGTTAGATGAACAAGTTCTGGACCATCCTTTCCAACTGTGATCACTCTGGTCTCTCTCGGCCTTGACACAAAAGGCATCCATTCTGGGTCATTATTCAGAAGAACACCGCACACTTCAAAGCAGCCAATAATTATTTATTTTACTAATTTATACAGAGCCAACACATTCCACAGTGTTTTACAGGGGAAAGTAGAAAATACACATGCATCTTAGTACATGTATTATGATGTCAACAAAACAATTAGAGTTTCTATAAAAATTGCATGTTACTAATGCATACCAAGCCCTCTTTGCCACCCAATGTACAAGACTTGAATGATGTGAATAGTGCAAATCACATACAATATACTCAGCCATTGCACTAAACGGTATGCAGCCATGATATGTTGAAATAGCAGGTCTCTTCACTTAGTAAAATGCAACTGAAGGAGGTATTGGTATATTACTGGCTATCACAGTCATTACCAGAATGTACTCTGCCATCTATCCCACTAAACTGCTTACATCCTCTAGTGCTCAAGCCTTGCATACCTGTTGGACAATCGCATTGCAGGATGGGGGGAGAGGACACAAGGGTCGCTATTTTGCTGTCCAGAACTGTGCTACTGAAGCCAAGAGAACAGAGGTCTTCATACTTCCCACATGGAACGCCACATACCTGGTGACCTTCTTCTCTTTTGTCATTCACACCTCAAAGTCCTCAACTCGGCCCTTAGCCCTTCCCTTAGCCTCTCTCTACTAATCACCAAGGGACAGTTTTCTTTGGTTAGTGGGAGCCTTGCCAAACAAACTGTTGAATGTCTCCAAGTTAAGTGGACCTGTCATTTTTATATACTTGAATATTGTTAAAATGCAATAATAGAAAACATTTATTTTCATTAGAGTGGAAAAAGATTCAAACCTTTGTCAACTATTTTATTGCTATATGTGTCCCTGATTTATAGATTTTGTCTCATTTCTTGTTTATGTTATAAATGTCACACTGGACAGGATGGAAACTTTACTTCCCATTTGACATTAGACACAACAGAAATTTGTGATAAATCCCTTTTATCAGGGACATGGGCAAAAAAAAAAAATTCTTCCCACGTAAAGCCGTTTTAGTGAGTCAGAATTAAATTTATGTCTCAGACTCCATTAGGGCGATTTTTACCATAACTTTCTGTCCAAGTAACAGAAGGAAGTCACAACAAGAATCAAGGGAGACACCCTCAACAGGGACATAGACAGAATCTAAGATCTCCTCAATGGGACTCAAATAACATTTAAAACCTGTGTGTACATGGGAAATAAGGTTTCTTCCTCTTGGATAACCATTGCCTAAAAGAGTCCTAAAGTCACAGCATACACTTTAGTTTTATACCATCAGCATTATAATAGCAATACAAATGATAGTTATTTTGGACAATCCAATATTAGGTAACTTGGAAAATCTCCATTTATGTTGTGAGCTCTTTCTACCTGCTAAATGTAATATTTGTCAACAAGGCACGTTTTCAATATTGACATAACACGAGCGTACAGACCACAGAGTACCTAAAGAGCACTTCCCTTGGAGGAGGTTTTCAGATGAATGGGCCAATAAAATCCTTGCGATTATGCAGCTGGCAGTGGGAGACAGTTACAAGGAGATAGCAGATGAAACACCCTATAAGAGGGAACCTAAAGAGTATGGTTAAACAAAACATGAGACTATTCTGCTCTAGATGAAGAGTGTGTAATGCACAGGGAACAGAGTGCAGAGATCAGCAGTACGTAACTCTCAGATTGTATAGGTCAGGAATAAGTAACACGCGTATTGCCGAGGTCAAGATTAGGTAACACACAGACTGCAGGGGTTAGGAATAAAGAATGCACATAGTGCAGGGGTCAGATGTACGTATGCACAGAGTGCATGGGTCAGATGTAAGTCATGCACAGAGTGTAGGGGTCCGATGTAAGTCATATACATAGTGCAGGGGTCAGATGTAAGTAATTCAGAGTGCAGGGATCAGATGTAAGTAATGCACAGAGTGCATGGGTCAGATGTAAGTAATGCACAGAGTGCAGGAGTCAGATGTAAGTAATGCACAGAGTGCAGGGGTCAGATGTAAGTAATGCACAGAGTGCATTGGTCAGATGTAAGTAATGCACAGAGTGCATGGGTCAGATGTAAGTAATGCACAAAGTGCCATTTATGTTGTGAGCTCTTTCTACCTGCTAAAGGTAATATTTGTCAACAAGGCACGTTTTCAATATTGACGTAACACGAGCGTACGGACCACAGAGTACCTAAAGAGCACTTCCCTTGGAGGAGGTATTCAGATGAATGGGCCAATAAAATCTTTGCGATTATTCAGCTGGCAGTGGGAGACAGTTACAAGGAGATAGCAGATGAAACACCCTATGAGAGGGAACCTAAAGAGTATGGTTAAACAAAACATGAGCCTATTCTGCTCTAGATGAAGAGTGTGTAACGTACAGGGAACAGAGTGCAGAGATCAGCAGTACGTAACTCTCAGATTGTATAGGTCAGGAATAAGTAACACAAGTAGAGATGAGCGAAGTATTCAAAAATTCGATTCGGCTGATTCGGCGAATTCGCGGAATAAATTCGATTCGAGTCGAATATATTCGCTGCGAATTTAACTTATAAAAAGGGTGTTTCTAGGCTTCAGAGAGCCTTTATATTAGTGCAGAACACTGTACCTTTAATTTAAATGCCCTTGGAGTCTGCTGGGGAAGAGAAATAATACTGTCAGTCAGTATGACATGCAGATGAGTGCCGTCGATCTTAGAATCACCGCACACTTCACTCATTTGGGCAGTCACGGGGCCAAAACCAGAGTGTGGAGCCACAGTGTGGCGGTGGAGGCAGCAGCAATGGGAGGCCATACAGCACCCTATGACAAAATGGAACACACCAGCAGTGTGAGGAGACCTGAAAGTGGCACATGGCAGAGTGTGGCGATGGAGACAGCAGCAATGGGAGGCCGTACAGGGACCCATGAGACACTCTGGACCTGGCAGCAGCATGAGGAGGCGGTACGGGGGCCCATGGCAGATTACGGGCCTGGCAGAAGCAATGGGAGGCCCGTAATCTGCCAGCACCCTATGACAAAATGGAACCCACCAGCAGTGTGAGGAGACCTGAAAGTGGCACATGGCAGAGTGTGGCGATGGAGACAGCAGCAATGGGAGGCCGTACAGGGACCCATGAGACACTCTGGACCTGGCAGCAGCATGAGGAGGCGGTACGGGGGCCCATGGCAGATTACGGGCCTGGCAGCAGCAATGGGAGGCCCGTAATCTGCCAGCACCCTATGACAAAATGGAACCCACCAGCAGTGTGAGGAGACCTGAAAGTGGCACATGGCAGAGTGTGGCGATGGAGACAGCAGCAATGGGAGGCCGTACAGGGACCCATGACACACTCTGGACCTGGCAGCAGCATGAGGAGGCGGTAAAGGGGCCCATGACAGATTACGGGCCTGGCAGCAGCATGAGGAGTCGGTACAGGGGCCCATGGCACATTACGGGCCTGGCAGATGACGACGAGGCTGCCAAGTACGATCAGCCTCATCATCATCAATTAGGGTCTCCGCCTCACTACTAGCCCCCTCGGCTGCGTGTGGGTCAGGAGACAGACCTGTCTCTAGACCGGCTACCGAGCCACTCTCCTCGCCAGTACTTCTTCGCCTGGCTGCTGAAGAGGCGGATGTCTCCCCCCGTTCCTGACCGCCCTCTGTTAGCTCTTCCTCACTGTACAGTGGGGCTGAGCCCACAGCATGCGATACTTCGCTTGGTGAGGGAACACCAAAGGACAGGGGCAGGTAGAGGACACGTGATTTCAGTGGGCTTGCTCCCGGGCCATGCCAACTAACGGTTGTGTCTGACGTACCCACCGACCGTTGGCTGTAGGTGTCAGAGGTGACCTGGGAAGAGGAAGACGACCGACCGCCAACCAATCGATGACGGCAGGGTTGTCGGTGGAGACACGACCGCTGGATGACACCGGGAGCACTGGCCTCTGGCTGCGACTAGTGCTGCCTCGACCCCTTCCTCTGCTGCCACATCTGCTCGCTCCTGAAACATTGCCTCCTCTGCCACTCCTCTGCGTGTTGTCTGACATACTCTTTAATTCAACGATTCTGTGTCCCTGAGTAACAATTCTGTGTCCCTGAGTAACAATTCTGTGTCTGTCCCTGAGTAACAATTCTGTGTCCCTGAGTAACAATTCTGTGTCCCTGAGTAACAATTCTGTGTCCCTGAGTAACAATTCTGTGTCTGTCCCTGAGTAACAATTCTGTGTCCCTGAGTAACAATTCTGTGTCCCTCAGTAACAATTCTGTGTCCCTGAGTAACAATTCTGTGTCCCTGAGTAACAATTCTGTGTCTGTCCCTGAGTAACAATTCTGTGTCCCTCAGTAACAATTCTGTGTCCCTGAGTAACAATTCTGTGTCCCTGAGTAACAATTCTGTGTCTGTCCCTGAGTAACAATTCTGTGTCCCTGAGTAACAATTCTGTGTCCCTCAGTAACAATTCTGTGTCCCTGAGTAACAATTCTGTGTCCCTCAGTAACAATTCTGTGTCCCTCAGTAACAATTCTGTGTCTGTCCCTGAGTAACACATCTGTGTCCCTCAGTAACAATTCTGTGTCCCTGAGTAAGAATTCTGTGTCCCTGAGTAACAATTCTGTGTCCCTGAGTAACAATTCTGTGTCCCTCAGTAACAATTCTGTGTCTGTCCCTGAGTAACAATTCTGTGTCCCTGAGTAACAATTCTGTGTCCCTGAGTAACAATTCTTTGTCCCTGAGTAACAATTCTGTGTCCCTCAGTAACAATTCTGTGTCCCTCAGTAACAATTCTGTGTCCCTCAGTAACAATTCTGTGTCTGTCCCTGAGTAACAATTCTGTGTCCCTGAGTAACAATTCTGTGTCCCTGAGTAACAATTCTGTGTCCCTCAGTAACAATTCTGTGTCCCTCAGTAACAATTCTGTGTCTGTCCCTGAGTAACAATTCTGTGTCCCTGAGTAACAATTCTGTGTCCCTGAGTAACAATTCTGTGTCCCTGAGTAACAATTCTGTGTCCCTCAGTAACAATTCTGTGTCTGTCCCTGAGTAACAATTCTGTGTCCCTGAGTAACAATTCTGTGTCCCTCAAGTAACAATTCTGTGTCCCTCAGTAACAATTCTGTGTCCCTCAGTAACAATACTGTGTCTGTCCCTGAGTAACAATTCTGTGTCCCTGAGTAACAATTCTGTGTCCCTGAGTAACAATTCTGTGTCCCTCAGTAACAATTATGTGTCCCTCAGTAACAATTCTGTGTCCCTCAGTAACAATTCTGTGTCTGTCCCTGAGTAACAATTCTGTGTCCCTGAGTAACAATTCTGTGTCCCTGAGTAACGATTCTGTGTCCCTAAGTAACGATTCTGTGGCCCTAAAGTCTCTCTGGCCCTAACTCTGTCCCTAATACAGACAGGTCTGTCTCTCTTGAATGACCGGAGGCTAATGGAGAATTGTAAGATGGCCGCAATTTATAGCTCCACCATTACACAGTGCTGGCTGGCTGGCTGCTGATTGGCTAATGCGATCACATGTCATGAATGAATGCATTATGGGTCAGCGCGCCTTGTCTGCGCGCCTTCCCAGAGATCCCCGCTCTGTCGCCACACATGTCGCCGCCATTTTTGGGAAAATTCGATTCGTGCATCCGAAGTTGGCTAATTTTCGGATTCGGCGCGAATCGAATATATTTCCCAATATTCGAAACGAATTCCACTTCTCCATGTTCGATTCGCTCATCTCTAAACACGAGTATAGCCGAGGTCAAGATTAGGTAACACACAGACTGCAGGGGTTAGGAATAAGTAATTCACAGACTGCAGGGGTCAGATGTAAAGCAATGCACAGAGTGCATTGGTCAGATGTAAGTAATGCACATAGTGCACGGGTCAGATGTAAGTAATACACAGAGTGCAGGGGTCAGATGTAAGTCATTCACAGAGTGCAGGGGTCAGATGTAAGTCATTCACACAGTGCAGGGGTCAGATGTAAGTCATTCACAGAGTGCAGGGGTCATATGTAAGTCATGCACAGAGTGTAGGGGTCAGATGTAAGTCATATACAGAGTGCAGGGGTCAGATGTAAGTAATTCAGAGTGCAGGGGTCAGATGTAAGTAATGCACAGAGTGCAATGGTCAGATGTAAGTAATGCACAGACTGCAGGAAACAGATGTAAGTAATGCACAGAGTGCATTGGTCAGATGTAAGTAATGCACAAAGTGCCATGGTTAGGATTAGGTAATGCAGAGAGTACAAAGGTCAAAAGTAGGTGCCTCCCAAACAAACCCCCCAGTATGAATGAAAGTTTGAATGTATGAAAGTGCATGTATACTGTGCACATGCTTCTATGGGCTGTTACCTGGCTGCTGTGAGTAACCTCTGATACATGCTCATCAGGTCCACTGTTCTCACCACCAGTCTTCAATCCTTCTTTCTCCACATCCTTATCCCTCTGCCATGTCACAGTGTTTATGCAGCTCAGCCGCAGGCTACACAGCATTGGCTCTAAGACTCACATGTATGAGCAACATTACCGCTTACAAACATTGCAGGAGTTGGATATTTTACATTGGAAACCAAAGAGCCAGTCAATAAGCCAGTATTACTGGGTATTTGGAGAAGAAAAATGATAGCTTATTGCCACCCAAATAAAGCACCCGGCATAATTCAACCTTACCCACGGACACTGTGACTAATAAACTTATCAAAAGAAAAGAAAACAAAAAAAAACTAGTCAATTTATAATTAACAAGAATACAGAAATGTAACAAAATCATAGCCCACAGGTTCAAAAGGGCCATATGCAGTTTATTGTCAAAGTAATTTTTTTTCAATTTTAAAATAGATTTGTATTTTTTTGATTATTCAAGAAAAAAAATAAAAGCAGGCACTTGCAAAACCAATAATATCTAGCTTATATATTTATATCAGATATTGCAAGGTCTTTGTGTGGTGCTTTTCAAGGCTGATATCAAATTCTCCTCTATATGTGGAACTCTGGAATATTTGCTGTTAATAAACAGAGATATGTCCTGATAGCATGTGCCAAATGTATGATATAAAAATGGCTCAGTTGCAGAGTCAAGCGCATTCCAAGCTCTGAAATAATGCAATTATCTGGAGATTGTGTAACCCAGCAACCTCACCTTGTTTACAGCACGCTGGCCTGAACCCAGTATCTGAATCTTATAGCCCGGTGTTCATGTTGCATATTTTATTGAAAAAAATGCATGCCGTATATGTGTATAGCAAACAGGACTGTGTAACAGCCGAACAGAGACAAATAGTAAAACCATTTATAGGCCAATTTTATTTAAAAAAAAACAAAACATTTTATTGCACACCCATACAAGTTTCATACTGTACTGTTAATGTTGAGATAGGCCATTTTAATTCACTTGCTGAACTTTTTGAAAGTGAACACTAAGTATGAGCTTCTGCCTTTTCGGTCATGAAAATCCCAAAGTTGTAATTAGAAACAATGCACACTCAGCATTCTTGTGCTTTGTGCAGGTATACTATAAAACTCCCAGTACAATAAATTTAAAGTGTATTAACACTTTTGCAGTCAAGTTTGAGAACCAACCTTTGCTGTATACACTATCACTGTTCACTTATTTTTTTTTTTGTACAACTTAAGTTCTTCCTGGCAAATTCAATCATGTCAACAGTAGTCTGCAGCTGAGCAATAGCCTCCTGACTTCTGCCTTTAGCATCCCTGAATTTGGTCAGAGCCTGTTTATGTGTTCATGTTCACAAAAAAGAGCTGACATATGTTCCTTCTTCACTAGAAAATACCTGCTGATCCTTCCAATTCCCCTCCTTCCCTTTCTTGTTGCTTTCTGACCACGCTTGGAACAGAAACAGATCCATTCTAGTGTGGTCAGTATGCCTCTCTCCTTCTAAGGAGCTTCGGGGTGCTGTGCCATTGCACTGCATGCCTGTAAGTCCCATAGTCTGAATATTCCTGGCAGTTTACCGTATGCTGTAGGAAAAGAGTGTCCAGGGCTTTTCAATCATCCTTGTATCCCCATCTACAGGTCTTGGAAAAGCTTTATCCAAATAACAGTCAGGATACTGCTATGAAAACAAGGGGAAAGGTATTTGGATTATTTTTCTTTCTATTTTACTAATGTGATGTGCCTGATTATAGGTGTTTAATATGTTGTAATTTTTGTTAATCAAAAGCTTTAAATAACGGTTTACATCATTAAAAATATACATTTTTTGGCTTTCTAGTTATTTTTGTGGAGCAATTTTATAAATATGACTGTGCATTAAAAAATACAATGTACCACACATTCCTTGAGATCTTTACTTGTTTATTAGGATACACAGCATGCACATCTAATTTACAACTGATAATGATATCTGCTAGCACAGTACAGACAGAATTAATTATGTTCAAC